TTGTTATTGTAAACTTCTGTGAACCTGGAATTGATTCAGTGGTATACAAATGGAATATCAATCAATCAGTCAATCAATCAACCAATGTGCCTCCCATTCATTGCATTGTTGTGCAGCTAAGAGAAGACCTCAAGCTTTCCTTGCTATTTTAATTTCCTTTTTATTTTAACCAGACCCTGCACTGTGGTGGTCAAAAACAATATGAAGTGGAACCAATTTTTTCCTCTACCTGGTGCAGCTTCACCAGGAGGATCTGGGCTCTGCCTCTCCTTAGGGAAGTCATTAGAACCACCCACCTTCTGAACAGGAGAAGAAGAAGCAGAAAACTAATTACTGCCTTTGTAAATAGACAGCAGCTTTAATGACATATTATTGCGTTAATTGACTTATGCAAGTTGCTCTGTGATCCTTGTGAGATGGAGAGCAGGATAAAAATACTGAAAATAATAATAAAACAATCAGGCTACTTTTCATACCCAGGTGGATCTGAACAAAGCTAAAGAAAGGTTAGAACTCATGCCATGCAGAGGAATGCTTCTGCACAATTTGTTCTTCCAGTTCTTATTTAATCTAGTGGAAGATGATTAATTTGCTTCCAAAACTGCCTTCAAAAGAGAAGAGGGCTTCTGAGAGTATCCCATAGGTGGAGTGGGGTGTACTGACATTTATTTAACCATGGGGTTGAGGGGTGCTGTGTGAACGTCTTGTCTTCTGCTGAACATGCACAAAGAGAATAGGTCATTATCTGTAGCATCTGCCAGTGGGAGAGTGTCAACTGGTATGTAAGGAGACACTAATCCTTCTCAGGCTGTCTTCTCTGTTGTGACTTAGCATCCTACCATGACAAGGAAGACTATGAGCAAAAGTTGTAACTTGGGAATTCCAAGTTAAAATGGTTTGATTTTGTCTTTGTTTCACCCATGTCCTGATGGACCTTGGACAATATGTTTTGGGAGAGAAGTCTTAACATTGGCCTGGATGGGGCTTCTTTTTAAATAAGATGGTCTTGTCTAGAAGGATGGAGCGAGAAAGGAAGGCAGGAAGAAACCCTTTTTACAGAACCCAGGAACTCTCTCAATGATGTGACCAGCATGTTTGGAGGAAAGGAATATACTAAAAAGAGTGGCCTTCCTTATCTCTGTTGCTTTATCAGCACAGGGCACCTTTTATGTTCTTTTCTGGTTATTTTTAGGCAGCCCATTCCTCTCCAATGTAGCTTTTCATGCAAAATTCCCTGGAGATGTGCTCAGTAAATCAGTACTGGAAGATTAATACAGTACCTCCTTATTTTAACTGTTGAAATAATGATAGCCCCCCAAATTGTTTTATAACTTCTAATATTCTGTGTAGGGATTCTTAGAAATGAAATATAGTGCAATCCTATACAGTATATATCTAATCTGAAATAAATGAATATTACTCCCAGACTTACGTGTCATATAATGACAGGCTTTTAAAGAGATAAAATCAGTCTCCTGGAGGGTTAAAATTGAAGAATTAGCACTTCCTCCTCTTAGCCACAGCATCAATGCCATGTGGGTAATGTGTAGTTACAGACTGTGTTTGTGCATTTTCACATCATTATTTGTTTACGGTTTGCTCCTATGGCATGTTTAAAAGGAAGTGAGACCTACATTTTAATGGGATTTATCCCCACATAACATTACCTAAGTGGTTGCAGAAATGGACTGTTATTCACCAATAGAATACCAAGAGAAACCAAACAGAACTACCAAGAAAAAAAACAAAACAAAACCCCCACCCCCACCAACACTGGCAGGGCAAGCCACTGTATATAAACAGAGAGCTAACTCCACTCCACTCTAGCACTGAAGACGTTACCTAGCCGGGTAATGAAATGTCTGCAAGCAAACAGCCAAGCTCAGAGAACCCCAAGCACTCCACAGTTCAACCCTGAGCTACACATATTCGCTTCTACTGGTACCATGTATGGGTGTCAAGCGCTTCAGAAAGCACACAGATGGGAGAAAAGTGCATGCAGGCAAACCTCCACCAAGGAACAACTATTCTTTCTACATGAATGCCTAAGACAGCACACCCTGTCCACCAGCGTCAGATACAAACCTCCAAAAAACTGCACAGCTGGATGGAAAATAGTGCAAGAAAGCAGCCGTAAAATGACATGACTAATGATCATGGATGCACACCTCAGACCTAATAAATGCCAGCATGCCATAGACAACCTCAAGGAGCAACTGGAACAAACCATGACCCCAGAGCACACAAATATACTGACAACCACTATCAAGACCACATCCCTAAGACAAGCTGAGAAAAGAAAAGCAAAACTTTAAACTAAACTGCTCAAACTAAACCCCAGAAACAAAGAGGTACCTGAACCTGAATGGGTAATCAACATGTCCATCCGACCACTATCCACTGCAGAACACAATATCCTCCAGAAAGGCCTCAACTATAACACGGACAATGCTAATCAGCTAGAATTCTGTGCAGCCTTAGAAGCAGCA